AAGGGTGTTGATGCGTACTAGGCGCTCCTGCGAGCAACACCACGAAATCTCACCGCTGCCACCAATGTTAGGAGTTGAGCCACAAGAACTGTGACTTATATCCCAAATATACCTACACTAGAATTAAAACTATATCTTTTGATTTAATAAAAAAGGTTTCGTTTATTTGTGAAAATTTATAAGTTTTGGGAAGGACACTTTGTCAGTTATGAGAGGTAACTTTAGATGTTGTCAGAGTCAAGATGGAATTCTGAATGTCTTCTCGTCTTCTTTCTTGAAAGAAGGAAACGTCCTGGAACCTCCTTCGAAAGGGCGGGAGTTCCTCTAGTTATTCACTGAAAGTACCTTAACGCTATTTTACAGATGTTACTTATATTGGTGCTAAAATATTTAATGATTTGGGATTTTTTTGGGAAGTTTATACAATAATAAAAACTAAACCCTATTCGGGCACGTAAATAGTTATTGGACATCATTCCGACAATTTAACAGTTTATGAAAATAGAGGGATATAAAACAAGGGTCCGAAAGGTAAAGCCATATTGAGCCGACAAGGCATGGTCAGGCCTCTCTGCAAAATACATAGTAAATATAATAGAAAATTAGAGATATAATTAAATGTTCCTATAATCACTGTGTTATCTTATTGGTTCATAACAATACCAAAAATCTTTGCCATCGAAAAAAAACTCACCAAATGCCAGCGCGAAACTGATCTCGTAGACACCCGGTATATGTGAAGACATTTTTCGAAAAATTATAATATCTATCAGCAATAATTTGACGTTTTTTTCACAAATCCATTTTACTTTACGGGTCATGAAATCTTCTGATAATTCCATGCGTTTTTATTTTCAGTATAAAGAAAAATATTTATGAGTATACAGAAATACTCTGGTTTTTTGTATTTAGATATTTAGTTTTAAGTATTTCGTGTTTTATATAAACTTGCATGTCATGCAGTGGCGGCTCGTGGTATAACATATTGGGGGTGCACATAATTTGTAATTCATAATAAATGCCGAAAGGGGGATGCCCGCCGGAGGCGCGAAATTTTTTGGGGTGCCACGCCACGCCCAGAAGTGTTTATTTTAGGCCTTTAAAAAAATAATTTATTGTAAGTGATCGTATGAGTTATGTGATGTGTTTACCTACCAATAATTAAAAATATTGTTAAGGGATTTCATATCTACCCTACCAAACAACCAACTAAGCTCAATTTAATACTTTTTTCGGTCTATCAAATCGTGGAAATTGAAGGATCTTATATCAATAAACTAGAAATTAAGTAACAAAGTAACTTACCTCACTGAGTACATCGTCCTGGTCTAACAATTGTTTTTATACATAAATGTATTATAGTTTTCAATCTCACAGACACGTTTTGTATTGAAAGATAAGAGTAAGATGTGATTTTGAGTTTTGATGTTTTTTAATTTTTTCGGATAAATGTACTAAATCTTTAACGCCGGATTTTGTCCATTCTGATGCTTCATCGCTTCCAAATAACAAACAGGGAAAACAGTAAAGACTATTACTAACATCACAACCGCACAACCAGTCAGTTTTTTCGTAAGTTTCCATTTTAAAAGTTCGTTTATAATCACGACTTTTGCATTTTGTTATGTTGGTGATTATTAAATTTGGCTTTGGACGGCCGACACATTTGATTTGGATTTTTTCCTCCAAAGAAAGCGAAGAAAATTTAATTGTTTTTGAATATTGCACGCTAAGGCTATCGGGGTTCAGAAATCCCGCCATTCTACACACAGTTTTCAGTTAATTCGCGCTCGAAATCGAAATAAATATAAAACAAGCGCTTCCGATCCCAAAGTGCACTGACTACATGTGCACACCAGCCAGCTTAAAACATCGAACGTCGCTAGACCTTCGCGGGGAACAAAGAGTGCGGGTGGGCATAGTTCCACCAATTGGATTTAATATTGAAATGTGCAGTGAACGGGGCATTCAGGCGACGCGGTGGACGCTGTGATTCCAGCGTTGCCGGTTGCGTTTGTTTTGCTGGCGCATTTGTCCACTAATTTTTTAAATTAATACTTTACAGGTAGAATGTTAAAATTTGAAGAATGATAAAATTAAATTTAAAGTTGTTTGATATTAATTTGGGAGTGCACGTGCACATGTGCTCTTATGGAGGAACCGCCACTGATGTCATGCCGACTATTTTTGGAGAACAAACTAGGTACCTATATGCAATGCATTAAACTCAACGGTGTTTTGATATTTCAAAGAAAAAAATAATTACTTAGTTGCTATTTATATATTTATAAATTTGTAGTATGATGTGTATCACTTTAAAATTTATACTTAAAGATATTTCGATTACCTCCTTGAGTGATATTGAAACTTTTCCGTTCTTTGTTTATTTTTTATTTCTCCGATCGCTTTGTATTAATCCTCGTGCTTACTTATGCTTAATTTGTGAACGCCGGCCTTTAGCCTAGACCGTAATTTCTCTAGTGAAATACTGCCATTAGCGAACATTTTATTAAATTTCTATTTTTTTTTTTTTTTCATACTATTGCCCAAAATTTTTGATCGTCGGCCTTGTACTCACAAGTACCTGGATAGCCTAGACCTTTTCTCTAAGGAACTGTCATTAACGACCTTTTGGTGCAACTGTGCATATAGACTCTTCTTTTGATTGTAGGGTGAATCGGTTCTACTAGAGTCTTTTACATACGTATGCATTTAATATATTAATTTTATTTCTCTTCTTATTACTCAATATTTTCCCAGAGCTCTTGACGTCGTACCTAAGTCGAATCGCCGATAGAGTATCTGAGTAGTGCACTTTATAAGTTTGTATTAACATTTGATCATATGATCCGCGCACTTGCCGCTTCTCGAGTGTGATAGGACATTTCCTTGCGAGTGCGCATCATATCCGTAAAAAAAAAAAAAAAAATATATAACTTTATCATGAACTAATAGGAACAACTACTCCGAGGACTAATGTCCCTTCCGGCATTGCATTATACCATTGGTCCATGTTGTAGTCATTGAGGTATTAAACGGAGTTTGGAGTTTGCGATCATATATTATTATTTATAAAGTTTCGCTTTATATTGCATGCTTTTTACTTTATCAAAACGTTATCAAGTATTTCTAATTGGCTCGAGCAAAGGTATTATCCGGTAATTCTGAAACCTCTTGTGGTATTACATTCGAAAATTCAACTTTGTCTAGACAACGTGAAATTATCACCTATACAAGTCACTTTAACATTTTGACGACACAAAAAAAATTAATTTTTGTATTGTAAATTAGAGATGGAAATCAATAGTACCTAACCATAGAAACACAAGTATTTGGTGTATTTGTCGAAAGCAAAAGCCATTAAAAATCAAAATGAACGGGTTGGTGAAGTAAAAGATGAGGAAATCGACGAAAGTATAGTGAAAGTTGAACCAAAAAAACACAGTGAAATCTAAAAACAGTATTTGGAGGCAGTCTATGTCATTTTGCGGCGAAAAAAAGTACACTTTTGATCAAGATACTCCAGTATCCGAGCTTGCATCTTTCCTGAAAAGCTGGGTCTTTAATATGAGAAAAAGGAACGGAGAAAAATATAAAGAGCATTACAGTAAAAGTTCTCTGGAATGTTACCGCAAAATTCCTCATGGAAAAGTATTTTAACGACTTTAATAGTTTTAAATTTAATTTTATTCCATAATTTTTATAAAATTCGTGAAATATTCTCCCTAAATATCATTCGTGCTTAAAAATTAACCAGAGAATTTCATACATCTGTCAAAACTGGTATTCCAACAATAAATTGACATGTTTTGATTGTTGATTTGAACCAATCAGATTGTAATTACGCGATAATTTGCACTAGTGCAAATTATCAGATAATTGCATAGTAACTGGTGCGAAAACTGGTGTTTTGACATTTTTTGACAAAAAATTTAAATTTTTGATTTATGAAATTCTCTCATTAAATACAACTCGTGCAATGGAAATATATTTATAATTTTCGACAAATTTGCATTCATGCGTTTTTAACTTCGTGCACTCGTGCTCTTTTTCAACTAAAAATGCATTCGGGCAAATTTCCCAAAAATTATCAATAATTTCCATTACACTAGTTATATTACTATTGATAATTTTCATTCAAGCTTGTTGTACAACAAACAAAACAACAAGCTTTCATGAAAGTTTTCGGTAATTTTTAAGCACTCGTGGTTATTACCCCCAAAAATTTAACGGTTGCTAATTTGGGGATTGAAGCACATTGAAGCACTAACCATTTATCTGTAACTGAACGTTGGTGCTTCCCTTGTTCCTGCTGGGTGTGAAGTGAGCAGGCGATTTTAAAACACCGAAATATCTCCGAAAATACGAGGGTTTCTAAATTGGAGATTGAAGCACATCGAAACATTAACCAAGCGCTTAACGATTACGTAAAATTTAATTTGAAGCCTGCCTACTTCACAGAGCCCCTTAATGTTCCAAATTCTAGTTTTGTTTATTCTGTTATGTCTAACGATTGTCACTTTCTTAATATTGAGGAAAAATCTTGAAAAGCCTTCAATGCGAATTTACCAAAGAAGAAAACTTTAGATAGCATTGCACATCTAAAGTCCGTTCATAAAGTCTGTAGATTTTTTCGAGTGCGTCATCTGAGATTTTGGACGCTGATTGGCCAAAATTAAGGGGTCGACTTGGGTGACCAGCACTCAATTTAAACGATAATTCAAACTCTAGCCAAACAGCGTCCAAAATCTCAGACCACGCGGTCGAAAAAGTGCATAAACTTTATGAACGGACTATAGACCTTTTTATAATTGCGGGTTGAATAATGTGTTCAAGTGCTTCTCAAGCTAGCGATAATGATCCCGTTCGATTGTACATGACTAGGTAAGAAACACCGATAATGCTAGTTTCAAGTACTATGACTTTCCAAAAATGCAAATCATATAAATTTCGAGATCATTGTGCAATTTTTGTGTGTCTACTCAGGAACTTGGTTCAAGATGAATAAGTTAGTAGGTTCTATTTGTTTATTTGTGATTTTGGCTGTTAGTCTCAATGAAGGTAGGTGGTACTTTTGATATTATTTTATTTTATTTTCCAATATAAATACCCATCTTTTATTAAATAATTGTTCCATAATTTATTTTTTCTACAACTGTCAAAAAATGTTTTGAAGTTTGCGAAGTGACACTTTTTTCCCAGGTATTGATTTTTTAACGTTCCCATGACACCAGTGTGCGAACTAGCTATTTCGCACCCTAGTGCGCGAAATAGCTAGTTCGCACACTGGTGTCATGGTGACACATACCTGTCAGGAAACCAAAAATAATTAAAATTCACCTACCTTTGATTGAGAATGCAATTTTGGCTTCGAATGATCGATATTTGAATGGAGTTGTAGAAAAAATATTGTTTGCAACTCGGGCGCGAAATAATAAATAGCATTTCGCGCACTAGATACAAAAATTACTATTTTTAATAATTTTGTATCTGTTGGATGACTCCATTTGCCTTATTTTTTTTCTAGTAGCAGCAAAACCCCAACACCCTGCTGTCGGAATTATAAATGGAACTACCGCAGAAGATAGAGAATTCCCATACATTGTAAGTTTGATTGACGCTATTAGGTAATGCATGCCTTTAACCTTATTTTAAATAATAACACGAATATAACAATAAAACTAGCACTATCACATATTTAAATACAGATTAACTCTAACTTATAAACTTAATGTTCAATCATAAGGAAAGGAAAGATGAAGCTAAAATACGTTGTGCTACCTGAACCATACATTACCTAAATCTTGTAAATCATTCGAACTGCTTAAATATATACATTTTTGAAATATTTTTTTCATTCGTAGGTTCAATTACATGATGATTTCAATTATTTCTATTGTGGTGGATCAATTATAGGCGACAGATGGATTTTGACGGCTGGCAATTGTGTTTGGAATAGTCAATTCGATCATGGGTAAGACTAAAGGAACTAAATCCATAAATTCCTGTCAAATCGCATATAATTCAATTTATTCAGGTGCTCACGTCAAAAAGCTTTTTAGGAAAGATGATCAACATCTTGTGGACCAGAATATTTTATTGTCAGTCAAGATTAGAATATAGATAGAAGAGGTATCTACGTAATTGATAGAATTACAATCCAAATCGAAAAAGAATAAATCACATGCGTTATGGGAAAATGATAAAAATGAAGTCCAGCATTGTGTGTTTCTTCCATGTTATTGGATTATATTTTGTATACTTGGTATACCTTCCCATGAAAAATCTGAAAAATTGTTTTGGCGTAGTATTCCGATTTTTCTGTTTTTATTTATGTCCTTTGATGATAAACGATGTCATCGAAACTTTAGCAAAAATTGATGATAACTGACAATAAAACAATTCAACCCACAAGCTAGTGGTCTTGTTAGATTAGATTAATATTGGGGCGTTGTTGCACTGCGACCTAAAGATCTATTGTGCCCCCTGCTGAGGCCTATTTGATGTGGATCTCAAATCATAGTACTTCGTCCAATCCTATGGCCTTGATGAGGGCTAGTAACTGGTACGGTGTCAAGGATGGTATGTCTCCTTCTAAAACTAGATAGTCACCGAGATGTGTAGCCCGGCTTCTAGCGACGGCTTCGTATACGGTTAGTAGGTGTTCTGGAGTTTCTTCCTCCTCCCCGCAAAACCTGCATTCACTGGATCTCTCGAGGAGCATTTTCCTGCGGTGTTCTCGAAGGTGGCAGTGCCCTGTCATAAACCCTGTAAAAATTCTTAGTTTAGTTTTACTTAAATTTACTAAAGCTTTAGATTTTTTGGGATTGAAGTTTCCAAGGAATAACTTAGAGTGTCTCAGTCCCGGAAGGTCGTCCCAGAGGCGAGCTCTTAGGTCGTCTTCCATTTTCTTAAGCTCCGCTGTATAATTGTTTTTATCTATACCGCAAAAAGGCTCCAGTCCTGCAAACGGGGAACCGGATCCTTTCTTTGCCAAGGTATTGGCTTCTTCGTTACATTCTACTCCTGCGTGTCCAGGCACCCATAGTAAAGTGACTTTATTTTTCTTTCCTACCTCATTTAGTTTTCCTAGGCAATCCCGTACTATCCTAGAACTGATGACATATGAACTCAGTGCCATTATGGCCGATTGACTGTCAGTGAATATTGCAATATCTTGCTTAAGATAGTTCCTGTTCAGGATCATTTGAGCACATCTGTCAATGGCGTGTATTTCCGCCTGAAAGACACTGGTGTATTTACCCAGTGACTCGAAATATTTGGTGCGAGGCCCAAATACTCCAGCTCCTGATCCTTTTTCGGTTTTCGAACCGTCTGTGTACCATTTAATGGTGTTTTCTTTGAGAGATTCGGTGATCTTGCTGCTTTCCCAGTCGCTTTTATTATCAATCCTTGTGAGAGAGTTTCTCTCAAAGTGATATTCTCTGGTTATATCTTCTTTAGGAAGATTGAATAAGGGAATACACCGTGTCTGGGATGACCATGCTCCTTGATCGATGATGTCCTTAGCCTCGGTCCTATTCCTAGCTAGTCTAAACATAGCCCTTTCTGCAACTCCCTTCACCGACAAATGCAAAGGTGTGAGGTCATGTATGACGTTCAACGCTGCTGTTGGACATGTTCTCATGGCTCCTGTAATACATACACTTGCCAGTCTTTGCAATTTATCAAGTGCTCGCCCTGTAGTGCTTTGTTCTGCTATGCCATACCAAACTGCTGCCCCATATGTGATTATGGGTTTTACCATCATAATGTACATCCACCGCAGTATTTTTGGTGTACATCCCCAGTTTTTACCCGCCAAGTTTCTGCACACCATAATGGCTTTAGTAGCTTTGTTAACAATGGCTTCTAGGTGTTTTTTCCATAAAAACTTACTATCCAGTGTTACGCCCAGATATTTGACTTCGTTTGCTTGATTTACAACCTCTCCACTTAGGTGAATTTCCCTAGAAAGTTGAATTTTCCTTCTAAGTGTAAATGGTACAATAGTGGTTTTTGCTGAGTTGATGCTCAGCCCCACCGATGTGCACCATTCTTCGGTAGTACTTAGGCCTCTTTGTATGAAGTCGTATAGTGTGCCCTCAAACTTGCCTTTGGCAATAATGACAATATCATCGGCGTAACCTAAACAAGTTAGACCCTGATTTGTCAGTCTGGACAGGAGTTCATCAACTACCAGGCTCCACAACAGGGGTGAGGTTACTCCCCCTTGAGGTGTACCACGAGTGGTTCTGATGCTTGTGGTTTGTTCACCCACAGTTGTCTCAGCTGTTCTCGTAGTCAGCATTTCACAGACCCACCGGACTATGGTTTTATTCACTCCTCTCCTCTCCAGAGCAATTTTTACCGCCTCAAGGGACGTGTCATCAAAAGCCCCGGATATATCCAGGAAAGCACATATGGCTGTTTCTTTTTCCTTAAGGGTTTTTTGGATGATTTCTGTAAGTTGATAGAGCGCTGTCTCTGTCGATCTGCCTGCTCTGTATGCATGTTGGCACGAGTGTAGAGGTGCCTTCTTCAAAATTTCCTTTCTGATGTAGTTATCTACAGCTTTTTCTATCGTCTTTAGTACAAAGAACGTAAGACTAATAGGTCGAAAAGATTTAGGGTTTGTCCCATCCTTTTTTCCTATTTTGGGTATGAAGGTTACTTTAGCTCGTCGCCAGATACTCGGTATATATCCCGAGGAAATATTCCCTCACCTTCTTAGAATAGCTAGGACTAGTTTACCTAGCTATTCTAAGTAGGTGAGTGAATATTTCCTTTTGCCCTTTTTGTAACAGGGCAGGAAATATTCCGTCCACTCCTGGTGACTTAAACGGTTGAAAGGTACTTATTGCCCATTTCATCCGTTCGGCAGTAAAAACCCTCTTTGCAGCTTCCCAGTCCTCCTTCTTCGGTTTACTGGTGTCGACTACCGTGGGTATTTCAACTGGTACGCTACCTGGAAAGTGCGTTTGAAGTAATATGATGACCTGCTCCTCTTCTCCTTTCGTGTAGGTGCCGTCCGGTTTTTGAAGGCCATTACTGGATTTGTTCCTCTTTTGGCCATGGCCTTATGTAGCCTTGCAGCCGTTGGAGTGTCAGCAATTTCCTCACAAAAGGTTCTGAAATGTTGCCTTTTGGCTTTTCTTATCTCTTTGTTATACATAGTAAGCACTTCTGCGTATCCCTGCCAATTTCCGTCACTTTTTGCTGTATTGAAAAGATGACGGACTTGAAATCTCAGTTTTGACAGGTGTCTGTTCCACCATGGTGCATCTTTTTTTGGATCTTGCTGTAGTCACTGGGCAACTAGATTCAAAGGCTTCCATAATTGCCTTTGTGACTTCCTTAGTGTCCTGCTCCAGGTCCGTGGTGTCTTTTCCCACCCGAACTTAAGCAGTGAAGGTTGTTCTCTAAATTGGTTTTGTAGGCTTCCCAATTGGTTTTTCTCGGAACCCTTCGTATGGGTCTATTGTATTTTACATTCTTTAGGTTCAACTCAATTATCCTGTGATCTGACAGGGATGGTTCGGTTGATACTCTCCAGTTTTTGATGAGGTCTCTAATACTGGAGCTGACTAAAGTTATATCTAATACTTCCGACCTTGTTCTTGTCACGAATGTAGGCATAGCACCAACATTCAAGACCTCAAGGTCGGTAGTCATAAGAAATTCAAGCAAACACTCACCTTTATAGTTGATATCCGTGCTTCCCCAGATAACATGATGTGCATTTGCGTCGCGCCTAAGAGTAGTGGCAGGCGCTCTCTTCTGCAATATTGGATCAGCTCTTGTACCTCCGGCGGTGGTGTCGTTAGCCCATCTCCAGGAAAATATGCTTAAGCAATTACTATGTGTCGGTTGCAGCCCCAAATGTCGAGTTGTACGACAATGGGTGTCAAGTCCCGTGACACAAATTCTGTAACACACATATAATTAATGTCATTTCTTATGAGAATACAGGCTCTGGGTGATTCCTGCCTGTTATCGTATACTACCTTTGAAAGTTTGCTTGACAAACCTTTGATTTGCCCTCTATTGATCCAGGGTTCTTGGATCATAACTAGTCCCAGATCTTGGTTAGCGAACATTCGTACAATCACATCAATGGATGCCCGTTTGTGTTGCAGATTGATTTGCGCTAATCTGGTGAATTTTTTAGTAATGGGAGGAGGGATCAGCAGGTGGTCTGTTTGGACTATCCTGTCCTTCCCTCTGCTGTTCCTTACTCTGATCCGCCAGAAGCTTCTCTTCATCTTCCTTGCTGATGACCTCTTCCTCAGAAGAAGAGTTGACTTTAAGAGATTCGAGGCTTAAGCCCTCGGTCTCTTGCCCCTCGTTCCCCTTTGATGCGGTCTCATCGGTGAGGGTGTTCTCCAACAGAGAAGAGGCGGTCGAGGCTGTTGGTTCAAAGTCCATTTTCTCTTCCTCCGCTTCTTCTCGCTTCTTAAGGCCAGATACCGGGACTTGCCCAAACCTGTAGTGGATGGACTGTCCCTTGTCCTTGATAGCTTCCTTACTTTTGGTATCGATCCCAATTGTAAGGACTTGGCCGTGGCCTTGTTCTTTCGCGTTCATAACTCGCCACGTATTTGTGGAGAGTTCCGCGTTCTGGACTTCAATGAGTCTCAGTGTCTTGCCCTTTGCTCCTTGGGAGGAAGATACTGATCGTATGCGACTTGGGGATCTCGTCTCCTCTCCGTGCAACGAGTTCAGGCCCCTTCCATGCTTTCAGTCTGGGTAACATCTGAACCAGCCATTCGGCTGTCTGCTCAGATTCGCAGTCCACCAATACCATTCCCGAGCGGAAATGTATACCAGAGCACCGCAAGCCCCTGGCTGTGCTTCTCATCATTTCTGCAACTACGGCCTCCTCCAGCGCCGTCAGTTATTCGCGGCTAAGCATTACCTGAGGGTATTCCTTAGGCAATATCCCGATTCTATTGAGTTTCGCAGCTTTGGCGTAGTTGGTGACTTGCCCTGCTATGCCCGCTGGTCTACTCGTTTTCTGGTGTTCATTTCCAGTTTTCTGTTTTTTCCCTCCAGTTCTTTGAGGGGGTGAAATAAATTCACTACCTCTTTTGCCTTGGGGGTTTTTTCTCGGCGATGACGTTGAAGGAGTTTCTTCGTCTCTCTTCTTCTTTTCTTCTAGGACTTTTCTCCTCGCTACCTCAGATGCCATGCCCTTGTGAAGAAGTCGTAGGTATTTCCTACAACCTGCTCAGCTGAGTCCTTGCCTCAGCGGATCGTCTCTTCCTCCGGGTTTTCCCAGTTCTGGAAGAGGAAACGGAAGCCTCGATCGAGGCTTTGCCTTGGTGTCGGTGCCCGTATTCTTTGAGGTGGAAGGAGCTTCCAGCTTGTTGTTTCCGGAGGATTGTCTCCGTGTTTTTGTTTTTTTTGTTCATACTCTTGTCCATGTTCGTCCCACGAGTAGCTGGAGAATGACTGTCCGCCTCGACAGCGCTCCGCATGTCGAGGTAAGGGGTATATACAATGGGGTGCCCCCTGGTGCCCCAAAGTTGAAGCCAGTAGAGACTAGTCTTCTATCTAGCCACGCATCTCCTCCGCCACTTGAGATTTAGGTTTTTATGGTGAGGTTGTCTCCTCTTGAACCGGGCGATTAAGCCAAGTCCCCCCAACTCTTAGGCCCGTAAGACATGACTACAGACGACCCAGAGCCTGGTGTATCAAATGGGTGCAATGCCCCATTTGGCTTCGTTTGATCCTTGTGCTATTCCCTTGGTCACGAAACTACAGCCGGGAAAGGATGAAGTTGGTCCGCGGCAGGTGCTTTCGTAGGCTTACAAGCCCACCTATGTGCACCCGCAGACCTCTGCTTCACTTACGATCATTAGCAAAAGGCCCACCCCCTATCCGCCACCTGGGGACGCGCCCGGTTGGTACTTCACACCCCGCCGGGGTGGTCTTGTTGGTTCCCCATCTAAAATAATACTAATTGAAATTACATAATTTGGTGAAACTTTAAAAAATAATTATTATTTGGTCAATATATTATAAAACAGAAGTTGCTCTCAACATTTTATCGGATCAGCTCAATTGGTAACAATTATGGACGAAACGTAGATCATTTGTAAATTATTTCAAAACATAATTATTAATATTTTATTCAACATTAAGGCGGAAGTATCCTCTTGGGAACTAATGTCTTGGGTGGAGGAAATGGCACCAAAATTGAAATCATAAATAAATATTGGCATCCACAATTCAACTATAACCGGACTACTGCAGGAGATATCCCATATTTTGATGTTGGAATTATGGAGGTAAAGAAAGGCTACGTTCACCAGAACCAAAACGGATTGTAAACAGTTTACAAATATCAACAGAATATGTTGGGTAAACTCTTGGTTCTGCTGAACGATTCAACTTTTCAATGATAGAACGTCACCTTCTGAATGACAGGTCACTACACAAAACACAGTGTTGAAAATTATAAACACTCTGAAATTATGCTTGCAAAAATGGCGACCGTTTGCAAAACATGTTCGGTTGTAACACAAATTCAACGTAACATTCAGTAGAACAATCGCAAACCGTTTACCAACGTTTGTATCTGGTGAACGCGGCCAAAATATATATTTTTTTTTAACTAATTTTAGCTTGAAAAACCTATTACATTCGATTCCAAAGCCCAACCAATCAAATTGGCTGATTCTGATGCTGACCATTCCACAAAAATGGGAATCTATGTGGATGGGGTACAAACGAAACCTATGGAGAAGATATGCCACTTTTACAAAAAGTCAGTTTGCCACTTTTAACCGATAGTGAATGCAGGAAAGGAATTGCCGACTTCGGTCGTGGGGATGTCTTCAATAGTTTCCATAATTTGTGTACTGATCAACACTACAACGGAGCATGCTACGTAAGTATCGGTTTATTAGTATATCTACCAATTAATTTATTTTTACGTTTATTTAGGGTGATTCTGGAAGTCCTTTTGTCATTGATGGAATCCAATATGGTATTGTTTCTTGGGGTCTGTCACCTTGCGGCGCCGCTCCAGGAATCTTGTCTCGTATTTCTACACCTTCCTATCGTGAATTTATCAGAAATGTGACTGGCATTTAAAATTAAAAAATTGAAATAAATGTAGATAAACCATTAATAAAAATATATTACTTTTTATTTCCTTAGCCTAAGAAACTGCCTATTATTATTATTATTGTCACACGCCTCCAGCCTAATGTGGGTAGGACCTGAGGTTGGGGACTGCTCTTTCGGAAAACACACAACTACAAAAAGGTGCTTAACGTATATGTCTGCTAGTGGGTACATCACCAAAGGGGCACTACGTAGGTGCGCCGCATGATTCTTACGTTCGGGGCTCTACTCTACGTACAAGATGAGTCACCATATTTTGACACCCACCTACAGCCGTGATTACAATAAGTAATAGGTAAAAGGTGTAAATACAAAAGTTGTAGAATTTTATCTGAATCGCCAGAATTTGTAATTAGATTGAACAAATGAGCAACACAAAGTAATTATATATGCAGGGCTAGGGTGTTAGCCGCCTGTGTGCCCAGACAATTATCGCCGCCTTACTCCCATCTAAAGTACAAAACTTTAACGTATGATGACTGTGGTAAAGACGAAGGAAGGACCACACAAAAGGGAGACGTGCATCTGTAATAGAGGTGTCAGAAAAGTAACTATTCATTACTCGAGTACTCGTTACTTGCCCGGATCCGAAATAACGAATACAAAAATCGCCGGCGCTATAGTTATTTGAGTACTCGAATCGAAATTCTCTATGCGCATTGCGCACCATATTTTTTATCCTTTTCAAAAGTATTTGAAATTTTGGGTTAATTTATTTGTATTTGTTTGTGGTTTATACCAAATAATATTATAATAAATATTATTATCGTCATACATATTTTTGTTTATTCAACCTTCGACTAGATTCAAAAATATATTCCAGTCAGAACGAGTATTTGAGTAACGAATATTTAGTAACGAGTACATTACTAAAAAGTAACGAATAGTTATGAGTAGTCAAAAGTAACTGTATTTTACATCTCTAATCTGTAAGAACGTCACAAAGGTATCGGCGCTTGACAATAATAGAGAGATTTTGAACCACCTATTTGATCAACGTTATACGTTATCGGTTATTTTGCTCATGCGCAATAGTGAAAAAATAACCGGCCCGCTTAATAAGCGGTAACGTACTACGCTAATTATGTGGAAATAAACGGAACCTTATTAACCGATAACGTTTCAGCATTTCGACGTCTTATTATATTTTCAATGTTATTCATGAAGTGCAGTACATAATTACACAAAACAAAACACAAATAAATACCCAACCATTCTAACATAAACAACAGACAACATAAAATTTGACGCTAGTTACACAGATTCAAATTCCTAACCACAAATTTTCATTAACGTTTAGCGTATAACGTCCTTCACAAGTTTTGGCTTCAAAAACTAAAAAAGGCTAAATGTCATCCGCTATTTTTCAAAGACTGCGCTTGCTCAGTTTATCGTTTAGCGTGTAACGTATTTCAAAATTTATGTGGCTCAAAATCTCTCTAATAGTTCATAATTCTTGGTTTACGTCAATCATTTGTCAGCTGTTATTGTTATTGGTTGTCTCTCTCCGTGCCTCTATGTAATTTTTTTTCTCTCTCGTGTAATGAAATTTGCCAAAACGTGACGCGTCTTTCGAATCACTCTCCATTCTCGTCCAAATATCAGACCGCTGCCTAAGAAGTTTCACTACAAAATATCGAGTTTTCATAAGGGAACCCCCTTTGAATTCTGATTTCAAAATCTTTAAACCTCGATTGCTCGGTAATCGTTGAGCAAATTGCATTGAAATTTTCAGCATTTGTAGCTCTTATTATGTTCTAAATGGCCTATAATTTACAATATTCTCAGATTAACAGTTTTTGAGCAAATTGAGTTTAAAGTTTTTGAAAAAATTTGGACTAGAAGTCAAATTGAGCTTCAATTGCTCAGAAACTATCTGAGCTATCAAACTCAATTTTGCACGGACGTTTAGAGAATTGAATGCTCTTTCCAATGATATGGAATTTATTCGAATTTGCTTGAAATTTAACAAAGATATGGCAACTGCTCATGACCATGTCAAGATTTTGAAAATTTTCCAGAGCCAAAAATAGGATTTCCTTTATAATTTCTTTTCTGCTAAATATGGCTATTTGGAAATGATGTCTGGGTTGTTTTCCACTAATTTTGACCCGCTCTATCGATTGGTAAAACTATGCGAAAACTGGAAAATAAAAAAAATCGAGTTTTTCATAAGGGTACCCCCTTTGAATTCTGATTTTAAAATATTCATACCGTAATTGCTCGGTAACCGTTGAGCAAATTGCATTGAAATTTTTAGCATCTGTAGCTCTCATTTAGCTCTCTAAATGACCTGTTATTTACAATATTCCCAGATTTATAGTTTTTGAGCAAATTAAGCTTAAAATTTTTGAAAAAATTTGGACTGAAAGTCAAATTTAAGGGGTAATTGCTCAAAAACTATTTAAGCTATCAAACTCAATTTTACACAGATTTATAGAGAATTTTATGCTCTTTCTAATGATATGTATATAATTTATTTCAATTTGCTGGAAGTTTAACAAAGATTTGGGCAATTTAGGCAGAGTAGTTTCTTTTGGAATTTTTAGATATGAGATGGAATTCTATTTAATTTCAATAAAATATCTGAGAAATGACGACAAATTAAAAAAAAAAAAAAAAAAAGTCAAATGTTAGCAAAATTACTTAGAAATTATGCCAAATTCCATAGAAATAATGTGAAATTCCCTGAAAATCACATAGAATTTCAAATATGTATGCTAAATTCTATCAAAATTATGCGGAATTCAAGTGAAATTGAAGAAGTAATGACGCGGAATTCCAAAGAAAAAATAATTAATTTTATAAAAATTACATGGAATTCTATTATGAAATTATGCGAAAATTTATAGAAATTGTGCGAAATATCAGTAAAATTAAATGGAATTAAATGTAATTCCGTAAAAAATATGCAAAATTTTATTGAAATTATGCTGAATTCCCTAGAAAAAAAAACTTACATAGATTCTTATAGAAATTATGCAAAATTCTATAAAAATTATCCGAAAATTCAGTGAAATTAAATGGAATTCTGGGAAAATGACGTAGAATTCAATTAAATTACATAAAAACCCATAGTGTTTATTATGTGGAATTTCATAAAAATTAGGTAAAATTCTATAAAAATTATGCGAAATCCCGTAGAAACTATGAGAAGTTCCAGGAATTCCATTGAAAATATGCTGAATACCATGGAAATGATGAATAATTTTATACAAAGTATACAGAATTTCATTGAAAATATGCCAAATCCTATCAAAATTATGCGGAATTCTAGTGAAATTGAATGGAAAACGACATAGAATTCCAAAAAAAGCGTCGAGTCTCAAAAAAATCAAAAGTTTTGTGAAATTTCATAGAAATCCAATGCAAAAGTCCAAAGAATTTCTGCGGAATTCTATAGAAAATATGCAATATTCTATAAAAACTATGCAAACTTCTACTAAAATTTTGCGGAATTTCATAAAAATTGTGTGCAATTGAATAAAATTCCAGTAAAATTTATTAAAATTCCAGGGATACGACGTAGAACTCCAAACAAAAATATGTGGAATTTCTGTAGAATTCCGGTAAAATTATGAAATTCCGATGGAATTCCAATAATTTTCCTGAAGTTTCAAGTAATTTCTCCAAAATTTTGGAGATATTATTCAAAATTCCTGTGAATTTCCGAGAAATTCCTGTGAAATTTCTTGCAATTATAGAAAATTTCCTTGAAATTACATGGATTTTTAGTATAATTCCAGAGAATTTTTTTGGAATTACGAGGAATTCTGGTGTACAATTTTTTTTTTTAAATTTACTGAAAAATAGTTATTTTTGTATCAAGTACGCGAAATGTCATTTTGATGATCGAGAACGAAAATTTTTAGACGACGCGTAGCGGAGTCAAAAAATCGTTCGAGATCACCAAAAACATTTCGCGCCCGAGTTGCAAATAATATTTTTTCTACAACTCCATTCAAATATCGATCATTCGAAGCCAAAATTGCATTTCCAATCAAAGGCAGGTGAATTTTAATTATTTTTTGGCATCCTGACAGGTGTGTGTCACCATGTCACTAGTGTGCGAACTAGCTATTTCGCACACTAGGATGCGAAATTGCTAGTTCGCACACTGGTGTCATGGGAACGTTAAAAAATCAATACCTGGGAAAAAAGTGTCACTTCGCAAACTGTCATGAGTGTGCGAACATCATCATTTTTTGACAGTTGTAGAAAAAAGAATAACTTACTCCAAATATCAAGAATCTTGTGAAATTATTTGGGATTTCAGTGGAATCACGTGGAATTCCGATGAAATTCCATTAATTTTCCTGGAATTCTAGAAAATTCCTGTAAAAATTACATTAAATTCTCGTGAAATTTTAAATAATTCTTGTGAAATTATTTGGAAGTTCAGTGAAATTGCGGAAAAATTATATGAAATTTCGAAAAAATTCCAATGAAATTCAATCTATTTTCCGGAAATTCCGCGTATTTCTCCCGGAATTCCAAGTTACTCTCGTGAAATTCAAAAAAAAATCCCGTAAAAATTACATGAAATTTTCATGCAACTTTAAAAAATTCTTGTGAAATTATTTAGAATTATAGTGGAATTACGTGGGATTCCGGTAAAATTATGTGATATTACGAAAGAATTACGACGGAAATTTTTCGAGTATTCGACTCAATGCCTCTGGAATTTTAAGTTATTCTCTTGAAATTCCAGAAAATTCCCATGAAATTCCAAAGTATTTACGTAAAATTACGCGGAATTTTCGCTAAATTTCAAAAATAAATCCTGTAAAATTATATGGAGTCCTTGTAAAATTCCAAAAAAAAAATTCCCTAAATTAACTAGTAATTTCAGAGTGGAATTTTGAAGAATTTCTATGGTATCACTTGGAATTCTCGTAAATTTGAAAGAAAAAATCGCAAAAATTTTCGTAAATACATAAAATTCTTGTGAAATTACATGGAATTCC